TTCCTTGTGAAGTGATTTTCCTAAAAACTTAAAAATAAGAAATATTGCATTCCTAAGCAGTGTTCATTTCAATTGACACATGACCAAACAAACCATAAGTGCAATATGATATTTTAGAGATATCAAGTTAGCCACTACAATAAACTGGCAGTACAGAAACAGAAGCAAATTTCAATAGAATTTCACTGTATACTATTATAATAAATATCATAGTTTAATTATTTCATACATATTTAAAGATGAAATTTGCTGGAAAAGAAAAATATATTTTTAAAATATGAGAGCATGGAAAGTTGTATAATGAATAATTTCACTCATACGCAAAATAACCAGAATTAAAATGATGAACCAATACATTGTTTAAAATCTTCTTCATACAAGGAGAGAAATAATGAAGTAAGAAAAAATAAATTAGATCAATGATAAAGACATTTAATATTCACATTGGGCTACTATGGTAATAAGAAGGGGAAATTTGAGTAGGGAGAACAAACATCGTGAAAACATCTCCTGGAATATTCTACATCAGCTCTATCCTAACTTTCAGAGACAACTTGAGTTCTCCATTGAAGCTCTAACATGATTCCTGCTCTGCTAGCCTACAGTCTGGACCTGGCATAGATATTGTAGCCACTACCCATAGACCAGAATGGTACTGCATATTCCCAGTATCTCTGTCCATTTTCTATATGCATTTGAAGTAGTGGTTATGAATTTTCCTAACATGAATTTAAAGGGAGGTAAAAGATATTAAGAAAATTGAAAAAGAAGGTTAGGATTTAAGAGAGGCTGATTTGCATTTCTCACTCTATATAGATACTATTTCTCAAAATTTTGATTCCATATTTCCAACACTTTCAAAAAACATTACTTTTAATCCATTTATTACAAATATATATGAGAACCTGAACTTCTTTCAACCACAAAACAAGATGAGCCTAAGGCCATTGGTAATTTCTTGCAGCCACTCCTTGTACAACAGTAAGCATTTGCCATACTGTGTATAGTATATGGATGTAGATCTGGGTAGTCTTTGCTTTGGGAGAAGATATACTACTTAAATTCTCTGAACTTGATGTTGTGTTATAGAAACAAGTCTGATTGTAAATTTTGTCCTATTCTAGAGATTTTTGTTATATTATTGAATTTTTAAGATTTTTTCCCTATTAACTAGTTAGCAAAAATTTAGAAATTTATTTTTGTTCAGTAGAATTAAATTATAATCTGGGTACCATTCAGGGAATATTTAGGCAATACATTATTTGCATCTCTTTCTAGTTGAATTGGTCTTAATATAAAAAGACTATTGTTTTCTGCTGCCTTTCCTATCCTCTACTATCCCCCCTCCCCTCCCCTCCCCTCCCCTCTTCTCTCTCTACCCCCTCTACTGTCATTCATTTCTTGCCCTTGTATTATTTTTTCACAGACACTAGTATGGCAATATGTAAATCAATGGATGTGTAACTGATGTGATTCTGCAATCTGTATATGGGGTAAAAATGGGAGTTCATAACCCACTTGAATCAAAGTGTAAAATATGATATATCAAGAAATATGTAATGTTTTGAACAACCAACAATAAAAAATTAAAAAAAGACTATTGTTATTTATTATAAGAATAGAAGTTAGATATATTATAAATGATTATACCTGGACTGTACTGAATTCTTCCATTTATGATGTATATAATTTGTTTATGATTGATCCAAAATCTCTGTATTACCATTTTTAAAAATTTTAGACACTGGGACCACAATCAGAGATTATAATCATCTGCTTCATTGTGTGATCATCTTCCTATAATTCTCCTATTTGTTTTATTATTTGAATGCATAACTTTTCTTAAACATCTTAAACTATAATTTCCTTTATTGTCACTCACATTTGCCTCTTAAGGTCATAAGTATTAAGTATATAATTGGGGAATGAATGAATTATTCTTTTTGTCTGAATTCTCTAAATATGAAGAGCAGCAATGGAACAAAACACTTGAAAACCATTAGGGTTATGGATGGTGATTTCTAAATAAATAGCATGATAAAAGTGGTAAAGAAGAAACATTTTATAAAGAAGAAAAAAATAAAAACTACTATGATCTCAGTAATTAATCAGCATAACTATGGCTACTAATTTAATAGATTAATTTTTCCATTGCTGAGATTGTTAATGAATAGTGCCATTATCTTTGCTAAGGGATCCTCCACAGAGCAAATGCTTCATAAATATATTTTGTCTTGCCTGTATTTGAATGTTCACTTTTGTTAGCTTTTTCATTGATGGTAAATTTTAGACTGGCAGTTTCAAATTACCACCTCTATGTTCCTAATGTTGAAATTTTCAAATGTGAATAAGAAGGGGGCAAAACCCCTGCAGCATACATAAAACAAAATGTCAGCACTATGAACAATTAGGTGTAATAACATTTAAATAATGCAATTCCACTGACACCCAAAGAATAAAATCCAACAATTAGGATGGCCTCTAGACAGTAGAAGATTTCACAGGAAAGTGCTAATTCTGCTCAGACCTCCATCAAGTTAAGAATCAATAGAACCTAGGCAACTGTAGTAGATTCAGACACGAGTCTCAGTTCCTGAACAAAAACCCTCATGCTAGAGCTATATTAAATTATCACAGCTAATGTAAAATCAACCTTGGTGTAAAAGCTAAAAGGGTAAAGTTCTCACAAATGATCGCTTATCACTCCATTCCGAAATGCATACAGCATTCATTATAGATCGCAATGCCACTCAAATTTCATCATTTAGTAGGTTTTGAAACAGCCAAACCATTAACAGAAGAGAGTAGCTTTTATATTTATACAATCAGTGACTAATGAAACATTATACCCAGTGTGCAAAGGGGAAAAAACTTTATTTTTGTAATGAACCCAATTGGAGCCCTTTTTAAACACAGTGTAATATGGTTTCACTGTTTCATCGAGCCTCTCATTACTTGTGTCAATAATCCTAGGTAAACTACTGTTGAACTTCACAGCATTTATTTAGCAGCATGAATAGCATTAATCTATGGGGTGCTTTTGATGAATTGTAGTTCAAGAAGCGAAGCCAAAAATGACTTCTTACAAAATGCTTAGAGAAGTATTTATTAGAAATATGTCAACTGCCAACTACCTAAAGGTAGCTTGGCTATTTAGAAAACCATACTGTTGGCTAGCTTGCAAACACTGGGAAAGCATAAGAATTTTCCCTACTTGAATTACTTGAAAAACAACAAATGACATGCTTTTCATCAGAGTGTATTATTTCTTCTGTCACTTCCCTTCTAATTCTGTATATATTTATGTTGTATTGCCTTCAATACAACGTGACATGTGATACAACATGCTCCCAGGCTCTGAGATACTATTAGGTGAGAGAAACACTTAAAAATTTTTGGGTGAATCAGTTAGGCTATACTTAAGTGACTGCATGGTCTGAATATCCAGGTAGCACAAACTGGAAGCTGCTCTTGGCTCCCCATCAAAGACTCTAACTTGACCTTGACTCACCCAATGGTATTACCTTCTCTGGCAATAAGGCTGGGAAGGTTTGTCCACAGGAGCTAACTACATTTAATTCCAATTTATCAGTGTAGTTTGATTAAGCTAATCTTTTATATAGCTGAATTTTATACTATTCATGAGATACCAGAAATTAAACTCTTAGATCTTTTGGATGTTCAAGATGTTTATACAGGGAGAGTTTATTCACTGTCTGCCTTCATTTGCCTACCATGAAGCTAGTATTTAGAATTGAGAGATTTTATACACTGAAGGAATTCAAAAACAGATAATATTATATACTGACAATATGTAAGTTTCTTCAATTTTTGCCTGTATCATAACAAAATAAATACCTGGAAAAATAGCACAAATTAGTTTACTATTTTCCTTAAAATTAATTAAAACTCTTTATTAAAGACTTAGGCTTGACTCCCACCATTCTTTCTTTTTAATTTTTTTTTAATAGAGAACTAGCTAATCCATGTTCTATACTATACAATTATAAATATGTATTATATAATTGGATTCCTGGGAAAAGTATTGAATAAACATATTCTCTCCATGATTTCTAAGATCCACTGGATTTATTAAACCATTTTGTTTTATTAAATGGTGGTTCATAATTTTGTAATATTATATGAAATAACATGGTATTCTCAGAAAATTTCTCTGGCTGAAATATAAAAGGTTAATGTTACATTCTCTAAGGACTCTTTCTCTGGAGATGCACAATGTTCCCTAGCATATACATTAACCACTGAGAAATGGTATAATAAAGAAATTTGTATAAATTTATTTATTACAGCATTTTTTAACCTCATAAAATGTAGTTTCATCTAATAATATGTTAAATTTGCCTTATTAACAACTCATTGTGACTTTTGAAGTTTGATCAATGAAAAAGAGTGATTTTCTTCACTTTTGGGTATTGGTATTTTGCTATATTTATACCCTTTGATATATACAAATGGTGAGATAAATGAAGTCAAGAAAATCAATGTCTGTAGATATTTCAAATTATCCTTCACAACATTTACTCATTAATATTCTATTCCTCTGTCTCTGCTGTATCTCAATGACATACTATTATCTTTTGGGCCAGTTATAGTGATCAAAAAATATATATTTTTATGATACTACTACTGAAATTAGTTTAAGAGAAATAGGATAATTCTGGATTATAACTAAAAGCATTTATTTGTAAAAATTTAGACAATCATTAATATAACTTATAAGTCATCACCAAAAATTAAATAAAAAGATTTATGATAAAGCTTTTCACAAAAATAACTTCATTTTTAGTGTATGCTGTAATTTTATATTAATTTGTCTGTATTGGAACATAGTAAATTTTGGACATATTAATACTTACGAGAAGTCCTTCTGAAAGAAAAAAGAAAACCTGTTTAATTTTATCCTACAGATTTTGAAAAATTTAAATAGCCTTTTAGGTCATTCATTTTTTTACATATCATATTGTCAAAAAGGCACTCACCATGTACAATGAGGACATACTCTGCGCTGCTTTGGCCAATGGTGTTTGTGGCTTCACATCGATATGTACCATTATCCGTTTTGTTCAGGAAAAGAATGTTTAGCTCCCTACCACTCACAACCATTCGATCAGGATCTGGTAATTCTCCACCATCCTTTGTCCACAAAACAGGTTCTGGCCTGTTGGATTCAAACATGCATACAAATTGGAAAAAATAAGAAATGTTGAATATTCAGGAAATTAAGCAAATCTGGTAATATGTGGATACTCATTTTATGAATAATCATTTGCTAACTTCTATAAAGGGGCAAAAAGAACCATCATGTACTCATTCAAAAGATTTGAAGGTATGAGAAACATAACTAATTCTACTGTACCAGTGTGTTAAAGAACTAATTTGTTATGTTATTGTAGCAGTCATTGCTGGTCCCCTGCCCAGGTCCTGAGCCCAGACTCTACTGGTATTGGCATTTTAACATTTTAACATAGCCTTGGGCAACAGAACCAAGTCCTCTCCCCAGGTTCTAACAAAAATACCTTTTCACTTGGGGTCTCCATTGAAACCACCTAAAGCTTCCCCTTACCTTGTCCACTTTTCTTATTCTCCTAAAGAATTTTTTGGAAAATTTGTATTTAATAACATACAGCCCCTGGCTGCATTTGGCCAATAATGGTCCATATGTACAACAGAGATTTCTTAAGATTTTATCTCCTGGAGATGTCATGGCAATTTTATAATGTGTTTGAACTCATATGTATTTTTTGACAAAATTTTGTAAAATGGATAAAACTTATGAATGAAATATAACAAATACTGGTAATACTGTCAAAATAAACAGATCAGTAATATGATGCAGGAAATGTTCATCAAGTGTTTAAGACTAAAATCACTTGGAGGATGTGATATTTTGATATAACAAGAAATACATATTTTCTCTGCCCCTATTTCCTGACATAGTTCTCCTGAAACCCCTATAGATAGATGTGCTAGGAAGATATTTTGTACAAAGATTTGGTCTTTTTCCGCAGGTCTTGACGCTGCTTCTAAATTCATAGGAATTTCCTAGGCACTGGGAATATTTTTTGTTTTAATGAGATGCTCCTAAGACATAGTCTAATAAAATGCCTTTGGAGGGCTTCTGGATCCCTTCAGAATGGGAGCTAAATAATTCAATGGTTGGAACTTTCAATCCCATCTCTGTCCTCTCAGAAGCAGAGATGGGTTGAAGTTTCAGTTGATTACCAATGTCCAATGATGTAATCAGTCAGACATATGTAGTAAAGCCCTTTAAAACCCTGAACTGCAGGGTTCAGTGAACTTTTGTGTTGCTTAACATATGGATGGTCCTGGAGGGTGTCATTCCAGGAGATGACAGGGAAGCTTCTGCCCCTCGCTATATACATTGCCTTATTCATCTCTTAAACTACTTTTCACCTGCATCCTTTGTAATGAATGGGTAAGTACAAGTATGGTGTTTCCCCAAGTTCTATGGAAAGACCCAGAAAATTAATGAAATCCAAGGAGGGGTCATGGAAACCCTGTCTGTAGCTGGTTGATCAGAGAAGTATACACAATAACTTACTATGTGCGATTAACCTGAGAATTAGGGGCCACCTCCTGGGACTGAATCTTAACCTATGGCATCTGAGTCTTTCCAGGTAGAGAGTGTCAGAATTAAAATGAACTATAGGCCACTCTGCTGATTATCCTGGAAGAACTAATTGTTAATTGGGGAAAAAAAAACTGCCATATACATTTTGGTGACCAGGTATGAATTTTAGTAAACGTGTGAGCAGAAAATAATAAATAGTTCATTTATTTTCCTATCTCTTCAGAGTAAGAAAGCAAAGAATGAAAGGCAATTTTGTCAGACCCAAGAAACTTCTGGAAGAGTAATATGTTACTTAACAAATGAAGAAACTTGGTATATAAAAATATTGAAAAATATGATATCATATCTTCCAATTATATAGAAAACTTGTCTTCATATTATCTTTAATGGAAGCCAAACAATTAACACTTCTTAACTCGCTTTATGTAATCCACATCGGTTTATTGCTATTTGAACTTACTTAATTAATATTTTAAGTAGCATAATTTTAAGTCAAATATCACAAGTAATACAATCCTTTGAAGAAGTAAAATTTTAAAATGAAACTGTAACTTGGAGAAGAGCTGAAAAAATTGAAATTTTATTCTTTCCAAAAAGCTACAAAAGACAAATAATAAAATAAAAGTTATATTAAGGATAATTTGAATTTTAGAAAATTCACCTTTATAATTTTATTCAAATGAAGGACTTATTATATTAAGAGGCAATTTTTTTGACGTATGTTAGAATTTTAAACACACAGATATATTTATACGTATTTATGTATTTTTATATATACACGTTACATAGATATATGTGTGTGTGTATATATATATATATATATATATATATATATATATATATATATATCTTTCCATACACTCAAAATTAACACCTGAAATCCAAACTATTATGATTCCTCTCCACTCAAGTTTGTAAGCTTTAAGTCACATCTAAAACACAGGCACTATAAATGCATACTTAATTTATATTTATATATATTTTAAATTGTTTACAGAGAACATAAAGATGCAAACAAATTAGTTATCAGTCTGTATTTTAAAAATTTCTTTCTAAATACAAATACTCCCTTCTGGTAAATAAGTAGGAAAAAAATCAACCTTCACAAGTGGTTAAAAGGAAGATGTCAGGCCATGTTTCTGAAGCAATGAACTGAATCATTCAAGGATTCTTTATCCTACTCTATGTAGTAAATCTTAAAGGTGACAAGACTTAGAACTATAAGATGCAATTTTAAGGAAAAGAATGTTATAGTTGATATATAGATCATAAATAAGGAACAAATATTCCCAATTAGTACTTAAAATGTTCAACTTCTTTAATAGCAGCATAAAAATATTAAGTGGTTTAACAGCCTTGATACAGTTTGTGTTTCATCTTAATAAAGAGAGCCTCCAGGCTTTTTCTAATTGGAATCCAGAAATGATTAAGTTTCTTGCTCCAAATGAATAACAATCTCCCCTGCTCTTCAAGCATCTAAAAGAAGATCATTTTAAAAGTGGTTCCAATGTAAGGTTTTTATGTGACAAAACTGAAAAAGGGTAGAAGCCAGATACCAAGTGCAGCAGAATTGTGAGAACACCATGGAAAGTAAGATGGTATTATTCTACAGTGGGAACATCCATACAGTCAAGGCAGAAAGTCTCCCTGTGAAAACACCAGATTATCAGAAGCTGGAATTCTTCTATATGAGAGTAAATTTGACTTCATTTCTGCCTTCAAATCTACAGAGCTAAAATCATGTTTTATTTTTTTATGCAAAAAATAAAAAAGAGACATTTTTCTAACAGTAGAGATACAGAAAACAAGAAATCAAAATTTTAAAAGTGAGACCAAATGTGTTTATGCACTGAGTCTCACATATTTTATTACCTTATTGAATTAGTTTTAAATCTCAACAGATTAAAAAAAAAACTCAGTGTTTTTTTATGTACATGATAAGAGATTCTATAGTATCTTTCATAGCTTCTTATTTATAAATTAACATTGGAAAAATTGCCATAACCTGCTCAAGTCACTGGTTTATTTAATATCTTGAAACAGATGAGTAATCAAACCTGATCCCTTATTTCCACTGGAATTATTCAGTTTTGCAGTGCTACTTTTGTGAGGTTGTTCCATACAAGCAACTATTCTAGTCCCTCCATATGAAACCTCAATGTCAAGGAACTATTTATTGTTTAGATTAGGTGTCCACACAAAAGCTCATGTGTAAGACAATGCAAGAAGGTTTAGAGGTGAAATGGGTGTTTTAGAAAAGCCTTAACCTAATCAGTGCAGTAATTCTCTCATAGGGATTAACTGAGGAGTTAACTGTGGGTTTAGGCTGTGGCAGGAGGAGGAGGGTCATTGGTTGGTATGCCTTGGGGGTACATTTCTGATGAGCTGAGCTTAGTCTCTGTCTACTTTCTGGTGACAGCTGTTTTACTTTACCACATTTTTATCCCATGATATTCTACCTCATCTCAGACCCCAAGGAATGGAGTTGTTCATCAATGGACTGAGACCTCTAAAACTCTGAGTCCCCAAATAAATGTTTCCTCCTCTAATTGTTATTGTCACAGCTAGGAAAGCAAACTAAAATAGTCCTGAAGAGATTGAATAACTTCTTCGCATTCATCCGCTCTCATCCTGTCTTTTAAGCTCATGCTTATTAAAGAAAATAAGCAGGCATTTCCAGTTTATGCCTTATGTACCATGTGACCACATGAAAGATGCCTACTGGCTTTATTTCAGTTTAGAAATTCCATAGGTGGGAAGTAGAAATGACTGAAGTTCTATTTATCATAGAGTTTTTTTAAAAAAAAAAAAAAAACAATTCTTCTCTATTTTCTTCAACTGGAAAGTGAAATAAGGTAGTGGTATGGGTTTCATAAATATCTTGATCCCCTTTGTACTTTAAGAAAAAAAAATTAGACCACGAAATTATTCTTAAGTTTGTACATAAAACTTTCAGTGTTTATGTTTTCAATTTTTAGATAAATAGAAGGACCTATATCAAGTATAAATTAATTGAAATTAGTTTATAATTGTCACAACTAGAAATATTTTAAATTTATTGATTCAGAGGAAATGGATACCAAGAGAACTCAAACTATCCTAAGCATTTCTCACTGGGTAGACTGAGATTGCATTCTTAAAGTCCAAATTTTACCAAATAATTGAGGAAGAAAAAGATGGGGGGGGGTAGAAAGAGAGAGAGAGAGAGACAGAGACAGAGACAGGTAGAGACAAAGAAGAAAAGAAAAAAAAATCAGAAGCTGAAGTTGCTTGGGACTTTTTATATTTAAAATATAAATATAAAGTAAGTCTAATAAGTAGTTCTCTTAAAATTATAAGCTGAATCAAAATAAAATTTTTCTATGATTTTATGCTGGAAGCTAAGATGGTGACTGCTAAACAGGAAGGAATAGAAAATGATTCTTTGGGAGCTGTTTATTATATCAATCATTTGAAATGTAAAAGATGCACAAAGGGTTATTTTGTTACTTAATACCAAAGGAGATGTTTCTCATATAGTTTGTAAATAGCTTGCAAAGTCTCTTCTTAACTATTATAAATATATT